TCATGGTCGGCCGTGTTCATCCCTTTGCCCTGACGTGGGAAATCGAGCGACGTGATGGCTTGGAGTCGGACGATGATAACATCACAGAATACACCGTCCCCGCGCTTATAGTCCGCGATCACAGCTACCAACCGTGAGTCTATGCTCCAAATCTCTCTGTCGCCACTGCCCTCCCTGACGATATCCATAGAATTGTCACTCGCACCGGACGGGCCCGCCAGCTCTTGCCACCATGGCCCTCCACCAGGGCTGGGGATTGCCCTGCAGCGGAGGGTGCGCCTTATCTCTAGGTTTTTCGGCCGACCCGACCAGAGCAGGTGGCTACTGGTCCTGGATAATCTCGGTCAGGTCTGGGAGGGACAGGTCAGTGCCATGATTCCAAAACTTTGCACGAACCTGCCTCACAGCCGAGACTCGATGCTCATCACTACCCAGCTGTCAAGCCTGGTGCAGCTGGGCAACGTGCCGCGAGTGCAGCGGGTTGACGGGTCCCTGAGTAAAGCTATGTTGGATAAGTGGCACGGACAACGACGCCCCGGCAGAGAATCAGTGGCCTTAGCCAAGCTCCTTGACCTCGTGGATGGGCTAACCGTGGTTCTTGCGCAAGCGGGCCACTTCCTCCAAGTGACTGGGTGCGATGCAGCCGTCTTTGTACGCTGCTACCAACAGCGGGGTTGCTTCTTCATGGCCGAGGGCGGCTTGCTCGACGGCTGGCTGCCTCTTTAGTATCCTCAAGACCCCCGATACCCTCAAGAGTCGGGGGCTACTCCCTGGACCATCTCGATGCGAGCAACCTTTCGCTCCATCGAAAAGCGAGACGGCGTCGCGGCAAAGCTATTGTTTCTCTGGTCCTGCCGCGACAACAGACATATGTTCTATGACCTGCTTAAGGCCACCGGGGATTTAACGGAATACTGGCCGTGGACACAAATACCTATAAATGCAGCATGGATATCCTATAGCTAGACAGATGTATGGATCAACGTTTTATCCAATTGTGAAGCCCCTTTGACCTTCCTATACGCTGCCAATGTCACTATATAACGTCACTTTGACAGTGCAAGGTTTGGTAATGTTATAGCTGCAACGCCATAATTACAGTGCAAAGTCAACCCCGATATTCTTCATCGGTGATCAGACAGTTCTTACCCACGAAACGATGGTCCTCATTGTTGCAGGAGCCTCTTCTCTTGGCCTAATCGGTATGGCCGTGGTCACTCCGCATGCCCTTCAACTCATGGGTACTGCAGCAGGAACAGATGGTACCCTCGGAGCCGTTGCCGAAGGCACCATAGTGGGAGCTGGGGTTGTTGTTGGAGGCACAGCAGCTGTCACCTAAACTGCCGTAACGACTGGAGTCACATCCTCCTTGACAGCGGGAACTATCGCCGAAAGCGCCTCTGCTTCCGGTATTGCTGCTGCGGCTATCTCCGGTCCCGTGGGAATGGCTGTCGTGGGTAGCGATGGCTACAATTGGGACTGTTGGAAACGCGGGACCACGATCGGACTTACATGGGTGTCCTCGTTGCCCTCAGTGATTTGGGCTACGGAAGCGCCACAGGCCAGCAACTCGCCTAGTGTCTACTGCCTGCTAGGCAGTAGGCAGGGAGCAACGATCTTTATAGGGCTGATACCCCCTGTGTGACATCTCCCCAACGACAGTTGCCACACAGAGGAAATCAGCGTCTAACAAGTTGACTCCTATTACACAGTTTATTCACGCAGTCCCCGGAATAACCTCCCCACAAGTGACGTCGTTACGCTTATCCTGTGTTGTCCGGTTCCCAGCCCGCGGACCTCGTATGTGGTGCTTCTTCGCTTGATAGTCTTTGGCGGATCCAGTAGGTGCAATTCCAGAAGGGGCCGCGGCAACAGGTCGCCGTGGGAGCACATTGAGTAGGTAACGCTTCGCAAGGCCAATACTGACCACTACAGTGGCGCCGACCCTGCAGCTTGCATCCAATTGTCTAGTTGGGGGTGTTTCCTGGAAATTGTGACCCGAAGGCAAGAAGTCGACAATCACCACTGACTCATCCACCAAGCCCCCAAAAATCCATTCCACCAACCGACCCCCGGCCCCCGGGCTCCCCCTTCGGAAGTGATGGGTGAAGGCAGCAAGCTGCCGATGTAGGGTGCGCTTATCGTGGGGACCGGCACACCCCAGGGCGTCCGTGCAACGCATGCTTGACGGCATTCGAATGTATTCATGTTTCACTGAACAAAGAAGAGGCATTGTGGACATGCCACTGCGGCATGGGGACGGGGGTGTGGACAACTGGCCAATTTTACGGGGCGACCCTCGCGCTGCTGCATCGTCCGGTTCTTGGAGCAGATCAGTGAGGGTGTAGTGTGGGTGCAAGTCCAGAAGAGGCGTTGGAAAGCCAATACGGGCAGAGGTTGAGCGCACGACGTGGCCAAGCTCTATAGACCGGCCAGCGCAAACTTGGCCCTTCTTTTTCCGTCCAATGACGGTTTTACTACCCACAATTTAGTGTCGTCGTTACCATCCTTACCACCCCTTTTGCTCACCCCCCTTTTGCTCCGCAAAAATGTTGCCGCTCCATACAAATTGGACCAACTTCACTTATACAGAATCTACTCAATTTTAAAGCTTGTACCGAGCAGTCACCTGTAGCAGGTATAAAAATGACCGAACTTACATTTTATGAGGTCATCTGGTCACCACAGGTGTCATGGTCCGTTACACCCTGGCATCGCAAAATGGCAATTTCGACCCCTAATCTCCTCCTGTCTCCTTTGCTTTCCACTCTTGCTCATCCTCCACCACCTGTCACAAATGGCTCCAAAAAAGCCTCGCTCTATCTATACAGAGAACGTGATGGCTGAGGCAATCCTCGATGTCACTGATAACGGTCTGTCGCAGCGCCAGGCTTCTCAGAAATGGGGATACCCCAGAGTACTACTTCCAGCAGAATGCGAGGTCGGTCGGCATTAACTGACCAGGAACAGCCTGAAAAACACTTATCCAGAGACCAGGAGGCCAACTTGGTTGCCTGGACTCTTCGCCAAGAATCTCTGGGTTACGGTCCGTCCCAGAGTCAAATCCGCGCCTGCGTTGTTGCCGTTCTGAAACAGCAAGGCTGCGACTCAAGATTGGGACGTCTTTGGGTAGAAAAGTTCATTCAACGCCATCCGGAACTTAGAGGCAAGGTCGGTAGGTGTCAGGAAGCCAACAGATTCGACTCATTTACTCCCAAAGCCGTGCACTGGTACTTTGACATCAGGGAGAAAGAGTACGGGTGGATCAAGCCAGAGAACACGGTGAATGTTGATGAAGGGGGGATTATGTCGGGCTTTGGTATGCAATCAACTCTCCATAGGTGATATAAGATAATTCGATCTCTTTGCTAGGTCTAGACAGTCTGGTGGTTGGAAGTTCGGACCCCAAACGGAAGACTCTTCTCAAGGGACCCCAGTCCCGAAGTTGGACCACTTTTATAGAGGCCATCACCGCCGACGGGCGCGCCTTGACTCCAGACATCATATTTAAGGGTAAAGACCTCCAGAAACAGTGGTTTAAAGAGGAGTTTCGAAGATTTGCGGACTGGCACTACATAACTTCACCAAATGGATGGACGGACAATCACATTGCCGTTGAATGGCTTGAGGAAGTCTATTTGCCTCAGACGCGACCTGAGGACGACTCTGAGGCCAGCCTTATCATTCTGGATGGACATGGGAGTCATGCAACGGTTCGTCCTTTGTTTTTACGGTAATGAGGCCCTGCTGATTTGACGATAGAATGAGTGGATGGCTACGTGCTTTCTGAACAATGTCTACTGTTGTTATCTCCCATCTCACTGTTCTCATGGCATCCAGCCATTAGACAACGGTGTTTTCAATGCTATAAAGACAGCCTACCGGAAGGAACTTGACAGACTGGCTTCTTTGACGGATTCCACGCCTGTTGACAAGGTCAACTTTATACGTGCGTATGCCACAGCACGTCAAACGGGAATGACAACAAGAAACATCTTGTCCGGTTGGAGAACCACTGGAAATTGGCCAATCTCGCGTTCCAAGGCGTCGGGGCATCCTGAGATCCAAGAAGATAAAGTTACGGCATCCCCGGAATATAGGCCGTTTTTGGACTCTGACGACACCCCGAAATCCAGCCGCCATATTCGTGATCTTGGCAAGAACAGAACACCTACGACTCAGAGGCGATATGCCAAGATAGCTAAAGGCTGGGAAACTCAAGAACAGACACTAGCAGAACATGGTGGTAAAATTGCTAGGCTGGAGGAGGAAGTGGACAGGCTGAAGAGAGGAAGAAAGAGAAGGGCCATCCCTAACCCAAATAGACGCTTCATGTGTCTCGCCGAAGCTTTGGCGGCCGGTTGTTGATCACCTTGTTGTAGTACTGTTCAAGCTCGCGGTGGTCCTTGGCTACCGCCTGCGAAATGGTAGACATGGCTGCGATATGGATGTGTGCAGGTTTGGGGGAGAACAATCGCGTTACGGTATTCCTAGAGGTTCTAAATATAATCGTTTGCAAGGTGGTCATGTTCAACTCGATGGGATGGGGTTAAGCGTCGAAATAAGGCCTCAAAGATGCAGCTCACAGCTACTTATAGGAAAGTCTGGGTGAGACGTAGTCTAATGAAGTGATTCGTTTGAGAGTAGGACTGCATTGGATTCTTCGATGTCAATCACGTCACCTGCACATCAGTTGACATCACGCAACCGTCAGTATGGCAGCGTGCGGTGTATTTATCGGCATCATCTACATGCAAGCGCCACGCACCCCAGATGCAAGGCCTGGGGGTTCCGGGCTATTCTGGGGTGCCCAATTACAACTTTTCGCGTGTCACGCTGTGAACGGTGCACCATTAAGCACTTTGGCCGGACGCGGGTTTGCCCACATATTGGAGAGGCGCCCGAACGAATCATTTGCCATGTCAACATAGAGATGTTTGGTAAATTCAATGGTGGCATTACAAGGCAGTTCAACGCATCCTTCAACTTGATCCGTACGTCTAACCGGCCTGATACACGGCAAGGGCCGCAACCTGCGGATTGATCAGCGCCAAGTTATACGGAGTCACGTACAGGTCCAGATCTGTCAGGGCTAGGAACATGGTCCCGTTCATGGCTGCATCACCCGCCCAAGTCGACACGTCGGGCTGAAGCGTGTGCGCAGTCTTGTCTCGGATGCTCACGTTCAAAAGAGGCGAGTAGGTCACGTTCAGCTGCGACACCCACCCGGCGAACCTCGGCTCCTGTACGTTTGTCGCCGTTGCGTAGCTGTTGTTGGGACCGACGAGCTGCCCCGGGCTGTCCCACTGCAGGAGGACTTTCCGGCCAGGGTACGACAGCGGGATGCTCCTGTTCTGGCTGACGGCGGGGGCACAGTCCAGCAGCTTGTCGGTCGCGTTGATGCAGAGCTGAGTGAGGGACGCCCGCGGTAGACAGCGTGTTGCTCGCGCCCCCGGAAGTCTCATTCTAGGCATCGGAGCCGCGGATGCGGGCTGGGTTGGGCTGGTTGAGAATGCGCAACGCCAGAAAGTTTTGCCAGACTAAGCGTGTTTGGTTACACGGACAGCTCGAGATATAGGGCGCCAGGAGGGTCCAGGCCCAGCTCTGGGGGATGCTGGGCGTGTGCCACTCGGGCATGGGGAACTGGCCGCCGAACTGCCGAAATATCATCTGCTGGCGAGCCTCGACGGTGATGCTCTGGAGGAGCAGCTGCGCGGCAGGGCCCGAGTTGAGATGGGGCAGAAAGCCATACACGCCTGCCTCGCCCCATCGCGTGAGCTTCTGGTTGAAGTCGAGGAACTCGGGCACGTTGGACATAGGGTAGTTGTATGTGCACTGCTTCGGCGCCTGGGGTCCTAGATGTTTGTCAGGACCGTCGCATGGCCAATCTCTTGGTCCGCCATGTGCTGCAGGAGGAAGCGGTCTTTAGCACTGAGTCCGTTGGCCTCGAACTCGTCGACGCTGAACATGGCCAAGCCCCAGTGGAAGAGGTCCAGCTTAATCCACTCCTGGTAGAGAGCGAGGGCAAGGGACTGGTAGTCAAAGTCGCTCTGCACGCGATACACAGGCGCCGAACCGTTGGTCCCGATGCCGCCGCTTGGAGTGAAGGGCGCGGGCTGATCACCGTGGAGCTCGCCGTCGGCCGGATATTTGTACGAGTCGCTCGGAGGAGGCAGAGACGGTATGGCAGTGCCCACAACCGAGGCCGAGAGCGCGCCCGTAGTGGTAGTAAGGAGGCCGGTGAAGGGGCCGTGAAACGTGACGTTGGCGTGAGGCACGGCCGCTGGCGGAACCTGACCTCGGAGGCACAGACGGGGAGGCATGGGCACAGCTCCATAGCGTGAGCCCAAGGCCGAATATGCAAAACAGCATCCTGCGTCTGGATTGCTGTCTTTAAGTTGATGTTATTATTATTATTATTATTATTGTATTTTGCGTCCAGCGACCTTCAGGTCGCTCAGGTCCCCGAGACGGGGCACAGGACGTGCTGAGCTACTGGGAGTCTACAATCTACTTATCGATACAGCAAAAGCGGGGTGAGCCATGACCTTGAAACGCGCAAACGAAATGGGCGCCAACCCGCAGTAGCTGCCTTCCACAGAACGTACACAATCCACCATCCAGCATTTCATCGGCTCAAAGGCTCCTTTGCTCAGCCTGTTGCCCGTCAGCGGGACGACCAGGCGCGACAACATTGTCTTTCATATTGGCCTCAACGAGGCAAACTTCGAACGAGATGAGGAGCTGCAATGCAGCTCGATTGACCCGGGCGGGACAAAGGGTGTCGCAACACCCTCCGCCTGGCCGAGTCGAGGAGAGAATACGCACACAAAGGAAAGCGGGGAAGGAGGGGAAGAGGCGCAGCCGCCTAATGGCGAAGGCAGATCGTCCCGAAGAACGAGCTTGCCTTCGCCACCTTGACGAACCGGTCGAAATTTCTTCCTATTGCTCGGTTGACCGCCGCGGTCGGTGAGGGCGCCAGCCTCATCCGAACTTGCGGCGGGATCTTCCTGCAGTAGAAAAGATGTTTTGGCTCTTTTCGTCGCCCACACGAGCACGTCAGTCGTGCGTCGTCGTGGTTGAACCTTTCATGGTAGTCAGCGAAGTCCCCATGGTGGGTTCTTGCTGCGAGCAGGTGGTGGAGGAGAGGTCGTGGGATGGTAAGTTCTGGCGGGCAGCCAGTCGTGGCGTCAAGGTCGAGGACCTTGTATTGCTGGGGTGCAGACACTTCCCACCAGGCTTTAAACGCGTCTTTTGGTCGCCGCCGAGCGACCTTACGCAGATATGCCAGCGTCGGGAGAGCATCTACCGGTTCGGGTTGAGAGGTTCCCGCCTTAGCTAAGGCGTCGGCCTGCTCGTTGCCTGGGATGTTGGTATGGCCGGGAATCCAACGGATCTCGGTGGCACCATGTTCTGCGGCCAAGGCCTGGAATTCCAGGAACTCATTCTGGGACGAGTCTGACGGCATGCCTCGCAGGCACGACGCGACTGCAAGGTTATCGAGGCATACGGCGATTCGCTCTGGCCCTGGGAGACCGAGAGCAGCACGGAGGCCTTCAAGGGCGCCCTTGGCCTCAGCGTCGAAGACTTCAGCGGGACCCAGGCGCCCGTTTCCATCGAGGACGGTGAGTCCATCCAAATGTATTGCATAGCCGTACCCTGCGGCTCCCTCTGCGGAGAGGGATCCGTCTGAGTAGACGATTGCTGTTCGTGGAGCAACTGACCGGAGCCAGTCGCGGAAGTTGGCCGCTGATTCCTCCTTCGGTGCAGTTTGCAGGGGCTGGCCGCTGGCGAATCTGCGTGGAAGGAGCTCTGGCCTGGCGCATCTGGCTAGCAGCTCGTCAGTGCGACGCAGTCTGGTCCGGAAAGGCTTTCGTGGAAGCTGATACTTGAGCTTGATGGCCCTGTTGATGGCGGGGGCCCGTATCGGCTTCGTTCGCGTCACAAGTGGATGTGCTTCATCGAGGGACCTGAGGCGGGCCGCGAAGCGTATTCGGTACGACTCGAGCAGTTGCGAAACTGGCGGTATACCAGCTTCCCGGTGCCTAGCGCTCAGCGGCGTGGTCTTCAGATTGGAAGGATGGCCCGCACGGCCGTATGGAGCGACTTGTCCATTCGCCGGATGAGGTGTCTTATTCCTGAAGGCCCTTCCTCACCGGTTGGGTCCATCGCGGGCTGGTCATGCCCGGGTACCATGCCTCTGCTCCGAAGAGGAGTTGAGGCTCGATGCAGGCGCGGACGGCTCTCGGACCGCACTCGGCAGGGTCCCCGGTTGGTGTTCGTCATTCCCTGGAGGTGGTGGGCTACTCTTTGCGCTTTGGCTGTCCACTTCTCGACGTGGGTCTTGAAGGACAGGGTGCTGTCGAGCCAGATGCCTAGCCAGCGCATGGCGCATTCCGGCCGCTTTTCCATCTCGCCATGGAAGACTGGCGGTGCAGTTCTCGGCTTCGTTCGGGAGAAGTGCATGACTTCGGTCTTCTTGGGGTCAAAGGCTATCGCATTTTCGGTACCCCATTCCATGAGTTCGTGGACGTGTCTTGACGCTTTGCGGGCAGTCTCCTCCAGATTGTTGCCGACGCAAAGGATAGCGGTGTCGTCTGCATAGCCGAAGCGTCCTTTCGGGCTGCTCAAGCGGTAGACTGGCTCCGTATACAGCAAGAACAGAATGGGAGAGGCTGGTGAACCTTGTGGCAGTCCGCACTGCAGGGGTGACGACGGAGTCGTAACGTCCTGATAGCGGATACATGCCGTTCGGTCATGCATGAAGGAGCCGGCCCAGCGAGCGACGTTCGAGGGCCACCCCTGCTGTCGAAGGCGGAGAATGAGTCTGTTACGGAGGACGGTATCGAAGGCACCTTCGATGTCCATCGTCACGAGTGTGGCCACCTGCTTGCGTGCGAAAGCTTCCTCAATGTCGTGGACTAGTGCCGCGACGAGGTCAACGGCGGACCTTTTGGGCAGTGCGCCGGCTTGTTGCGAGTGCAAAACACCATAGTGGACTGATGCCCACGCCAAACGGCGTGCAATCAGCCGTTCGAGCCCCTTACCAAGGCAAGAGAGGAGCGAGATCGGCCGCCAGGCGCGGGCCTCTGACAGGTTCCGTCGCCCTGGCTTTGTGATCATAACCACTTCCGCTTCCTGAAGGCTTGGGGTGGTGGCCGATGTTGAGACAGCCCTGGTACAGCTTGTGGACAAGGTTCCCAATGGCGTGCCAAACGGCACGGAGCATCTTGACAGTGATGTTATCAGAGCCGGGAGAGGTGTTACCCGTTCGCAGGGTTGCGTCCCGGACCTCCTCGAGGAGATGTCCTGGGAGAATGGAATTGTTCTCACTGGATCCACTGGGACCCACGGGTCCGTGATGTCGTCCTGCGAGGTGCGGCGTTCGAGCGTTGCCCGTCGCAGTGCGTTGGCTTTGTCCAGCTGGGTCTCGTAAACTGCATCGTCCACTTGCAGAGGCGGTGGTTGGAAAGCACCGGGCGATCTCAACCAACGGACTGCCCTGAAGACGGATGCGCTGTCCGTAAAGCTGTCAATGAGGTCGCGCCAGTAGCGGCGCTTGACTCGTCGCACGACTCTCCGGAAGGTCTTTTTGGCGAGCTGAACCTCACGACAGAAACCGAGAGGGAAGACTCTCCTCACCGCGCGATACTCCGCCGCCGCCAAGACGCATTCCTCCGTCCACCAGGGTGCGCTGCGCGCACCTTTGCGGACCGGCCGGCCTGCAGCCTTGGCGGCAAACTGAAGTAGGTTAGTCACTGCCAGGGCAAGTGAATCCAGGTCTTGAGGGGATGCGGTCGACGGCTGGATAGCCGCCACACCGTTTTCAACCATCTCGATAAAGCGTCGTATTTCCTCGTCAGAGGTGAGACGGACCTTTCCAGTGGGTGGAGGCGTTACGGCGAGTTCGGGAGGTGATATTGAGCGTGAAGTGGTCGGAGCTGGTAGCGAGGTGGTCCTCGACCACCGCGGCGGCCAAGGCAATATTAGAAAGCAAGGTCTATCGTGTTGCCATGAGGTTTGTCGGGACGTCAGCCGGATTGAGCAGATTCAGACCATTGGCCGTCGCCCATGCAGCTACAGCCTCACCGCGACCTTCGATGCGGCCGGCTTGCCAGCTGTGGTGTTTGGCGTTGAAATCGCCAGCTACCAGACATCTGTCAGGTGCTGGCCATCGGAGTAGTATGTCAAGTGCCTCGTCGTACGACGGTTGGCGGTAAATGTTGACTAGAGTGATGTCGTTGACCACGAGCCAGAGAATGTCACGTGTTGCCGTGGGCCTTCTCTGATCTACCATCAGTCCCGGCCTGCGGCGGACATAGGTCATGACCCTGGGTCGGGTGCTATTGTTCTCCCAGCTGTCTACCGGGGAGAAGGTGTCGTAGGCGGGATGCGTTTTGGTAAGGCATCGGCCCCCCTTTGTTTCTGTCCATGGCTCCTGGAGTAGAACCACATCATATCGTTCAGAGTCCGCGAGGGCAAGCGCGCAGTCGTGTGCTGGCGGGATCTTGCCCACGTTGGCTTGGAAGACTCGCAGAGTCTTATTGCCACCTCTATTTGTACGGGGGTACCTCGTCATGGAGAGACGGAGTCCTGGGCGATGCGCCGCTTCTTCGTGGAGAGGCAGATCTGTGCCGTTGACCTCCCGGAGGCTTGGGTGGTGGGGCCATAATGACAGGCGGCGGGGTTATGGTCCTGGTAGGACTTAGGGTCGAGGTGACGCTGCCACGCCGTGGCGCAACATCTTGAGATTGAGCCGGCTGGCCGTCGTTTTGAGCAGCGCTTGAGGTCGCGGGTTGGGTTGCGTCGGTTCCGAGACGGCCCTCCCTGTCAGATCCAGGCGTCGCCGTCCGTTCGGTGATGCCGCCCGGCGTGAGGGCGTCATCCCGCGCGGGTGGCTCTGATCGTTCTACGCTCTCGTATTGTTCCTTTCGCTGGGCGGACAGTTGAGCGCCCAGCTCTCGGACGCGAGATTTCTCTTCTCTCGTCAGACGGCGAATGACGCCGTGTGATCGTTTCGGGCGCGCAGGGCACTTCGCAAAGTCTGCGGCATGAGGCCCGAGACAGTTCGCGCACCGCTCGAGGGCTACGCAGATCTCGGCGTCATGACCGCGCCGTCCGCATCGCTTGCAAGACGCTTGTCGATCGCAGGTGTGTTGGGCGTGAAAGTCCCAGCACTTGTCGCACTGGCTGGGCAGGCTGGATCTCTCGACATATCGGGCGAGCCGGCTGGATCCAAACAGCCTCCAGGGCTTGTGCGTGGGTTCGAGGAATGATACAATCAATGTACAGGTCAGGGCTCATTCGGCTTGCGCCTGGCGGAGCGCACCCTGATGGGTGTGAGGCCGGTCTGGCAGGCGATCTCGTCTCTGGCGGCTGCCTCGTAGTCCAATTCTTTCCCATATAGGTCGGTGAGGGTGTGGGGGCAGTTTGCCACGGCATAGGTGTACCATCTCTGGCTGATCTCCACATTTGTCACGCCCAGGTCCTCAGACCACTCGGACTGTCGTTGGACGATAAGGTCCCGAATAGTTGCATCCGTCGTCCGGATGGCCCATCCGGAGTTCACCTTGAAAGCGGCTGGGACTTGGTGAAGGCCGATGCCGACTTTGGCGGCGACGTGGGTCCGGATTGCGTAGCTGTTGTGGTCCCTAGCTGGCGCTTCGGCCGGGAGCCGCACGAAAACCCGGAGGTCTTCTTTCGGTGGGGCGGGGATTGGTCGTCCCTGGAGACGGGAGATTGGCTGTTGTGGCTCTTGTTGTTGCGGGGCTGCAGCAACCGTAGGGGCGTGGCCCCCGGGCGGTTGGCCTGCGGTGCGACCGGCGGCGACGCTGCTGTATGTCGGCGCCGGTGCGAGTCGGAGATCGGAGGGTGTCTGCCTCCAAAGGTCAAGAAAGCGGTTGGAGAAGTGTTCTGCAAAGCTGTGTTCGAGACCAGATGTGAATTGCTTCGCAGTCTGCTCGAATGATTCGCAAAAGGCTCGGAAGACTGTCATTTTAGCGTTATGGGCATCGGTTTCGTCGCCGGCAAGTTTGTTGGCTGCATCAATTATGGACACCGGCTGGAGCCTGCTGGTCTCAGCGGTGCCGGGCCGGTCCGGGGCGGGGTCGCACCACGCTCCTTCCGTAGCGGCGGCATGTGAGAGACGGACTAGAGGCGACGACGGCGTTGCGGCCGGTCGCCGGAATGTCGATGAGAGACCAATAGGGCGGGTCACAATAGGAGAACTGTCACGGAGCTGAGATGCACGGGCTAAGCGAGCAAGGTTAGGCGGAGTATGAGCACCCAGATCAAAGGGATCTGAGCTGGCATGCGAGCTCGTGGCAGATGCCATGGCCGCAGCCGAAGCCAGCGCAGAGCGCTGCTGCAGAGGTTGGCGTGCACGTGTTAGACAAATAGGTTAGGATAGCGCCACTTTCTTAACAATAGCATGCCAAGAAAGTGTCATGGCAAAGGAAGGTGTTTGTGTTCCACCCACCACATGTGGTTGGGGAAAAAGTCTAGGGTAGGATATCCTGGTGATACATCTCGCAACGCGGCGATAAGAAGCAACGACGAGCTGAGATACGTTATAGAACATGTTTTTACATCAATGTCAAACCATGACGACTTGCCCTATCCTCTTCGATTTCTTCATCAAATACGGTGCCAGGCAGCTGTTGTCATCATATCAATCGCAATCTCATCACCGAGGCAATTTAACTTTTCTCGCAGACAGAGACAGTTATCACAGACACACGGAATCGCTACAATACAGATGCTGTAGCTGCTATTGAACATCGCAGGCACCTGCCTTAGAAGTCATATGTTGTTACCATACAGTGCTTAAGGGGCCAAAAAGAAATCGTTCAAGCAAGGTACCGACAGTGCCAAAAGTCTTAGGCGGGGTACATCGTGCAGCCAAATTAGGAAATACAGTCAAGCAACATCAACCAACCAAGCAAAGTAAGCCCCTCTCGTCAAGCAAACCAAGTAAAGCAAAGGGTCCGGTCAACCAAGTCAAGCAAAGGGGTCAAATTTTGCTTTACTTGGTTGATGGACACACTGGTGTGTAGCACCTAACCACTCCATCTAACAATTCTGAGGCTCTGAGGCCGGTCGGAAATTCGGGGCCCTTCCCCCGTCAGCGGGTTCCAGGCACGGCAGTGAAGCCGTAATAGTAGTCAGTCTTTGGCCGAGGCCGGGTGACTGAGAAAGCCCACGAAGTCATGGGCCGGCCGCAAGCCCCCTCGAGGGCCTACGGGGCAGAGAGAAAAAGAAAAGAAAAAGGAAGCAGAGAGTGTAGCAATGTTAGTCGGGGGTGTCACGGCCAGAACTAAGCCTTGACGGCTATCCCTGTATTGGCTCTATGGACGAAGTTTCTAGCTTAAGGGGTGGAAGAGAAAGAAAGAAGAGAAGCCCAGTAGGCAGAGATTTACATACAGCCTTGGGGTGTAGTCCGTGCACGGGCACGTGCACCCCGTTGTTAGTTCTGATCTCGTCGTTACAGGGGGTTCGCCCCGATGGCGATTGTCTTCTCCCGCAGGAGCGTTCGATCCGGGGCCACTTCGTGGTCATGACAGTCGGCGAAGTCCCCGTGCCTACTCCTCGTAGCAAGCAGGTGGTGGAGGTGTTGTCGATTGGTGTGCAGCTCCGGGGGGCACCCGGGTGAGGCCTTGAGCTCTAGGCTCTTGTAGCTCCTCGGGGCCCCCGCGGCCCACCAGTCCAGAGGAAGTCGTGGCTGCTGGGCGGCAGTAAGGGCCGCAAGGCGGCAGAGGTCGGGGCCGCGAGACGGCAGACTTGGGCTTGCAGAGATGTGTGTATTGCGTGTGTGTGTTCTTCTCCCGGGGCGGCCCCTTTTTGGGGTCTCTCGGGCTCTATTCCAATGAGTCATCTGCTTATCTCCCTATCGCACGTGACCTCTGCTCCCGTTGTTCTGACAACTAGCCACACTAACCCCACTTTTGGTCGGGCTAGTTAGGCAGAGTGGTCGGCCGGTTAGTCAGGGCCTTTATATACCCTGCTCGTTGTAACATCATGCGCATAATATGCGGGGTAGGTAGTTATAGGCCAGGTATGTATTATTAGCCAGCCAGTCACAGCCGCCTAAGCAAGATGTAGCGGGGATGATTCCTACGGCTAATAGGACATTGGGTACTACCTAATGAAGTTGTCGACGGCTGCTGATGCGACTATTACGACAAGTTGTGTGGCTTATCGTGCGGCTACTTGGGCGAACCATCGAATAATCCTATCGATGGCTGCATGATACGAACATCGACAGCGCACTGCAACATTAAGGCTCCCATCCACCTCGCCAGTGTATAGCATTAACCGAAGTAGCGTGCATATTATAGCACCCAACAGGCTGCAGTGCTCTATAAAATAGTTCTAGCCTTCATGAAGCGATGCTGCAATATTCCTGCTCTTTCTCAACATTATCGCAACTCCTCGAGCCCGCGCCTCTACTGTTCCAAGACACCCCGCTTCGTATCAACCCTAGTAGGTCACTCCAATCTGGGGAATAACTGGACTGATAGCTAACGCATGCGAATTTATCCTTGCCCGATCATGGACGAATTAACGAAGGCAGCGGCTAAGAAAGAGCTAGATAGCCTGATGGAAGAATGGAACAAGAAGGAGGCCGTGCTTGATAAACTGTTGCAGAACGCCGCCTCTTTGAAGGTGCTGGCCGAACGAGGCTCAAGCTCAAGGGCAAGGAGGGGAGGGGAGGTATCAGAGGATTTTGACACACAAATCAAGGGGCTTGAGGCAGAGGCGGCTCGCCTCCGAAAAGAGCAACAGCGGGTATGGCTCAAAATCGAGGAGCTGCAGAGACAACAACGCTAGTCGCATGTAGCAGCGGTACATTCCCCAGTCACAAGGCTGCCTTCTCGCATTCATCATTCAAGCCATGATATTCTACAATGTCCTAGTGACGGTGATGCAGCTGTAATTGAGAAATCCTTCCGCTATTCTTGGGGGGAAAATTGGCCAGCTTCCAAATCTCTGATCATGGCTTGAGAGCTCCTCAGCAACCGTTCCATCTTTTCATAATGCCCTTCTTCGTCAAGACTGTTGTCTTGAAGGTATTTCGTGTAGTGTCGAGATGTCTCTAGGCGCTGATCCACGTTTCGTCGCATTTGTAGAGGATCGGGTGATGGAATGCCGCATAATGCAGGAATGTTCCGGAGGATGTTCTGTTGAAAGATGAAGTCAAGGTCTACCGGGTCTATCAGCACATGAAGGATAGACCATCGAAGGGGGTCCTGGAAACCCCAGTCAGCCGCCAGTTGAGAATGATACTCCGACTTCTGTCTAGTAGAGGAAAGAACGCGGAGGAACTCTGACGACAGATCAGGGAGTCCTTTGTCATTCCCGGTAATCCACGTAGGAGGTATGGAGGCGCATCGCGGAACGGTTGCTGTGTACTCCCAGTCGATGACGCCACGAATGTTCAGCTCACCGTCCACGAGGATATTTTGACAGCGGAGATCTGGGTGAGCTAGGAAGAACGTCTTGTCAGAGGATTGAATGGCGAGCCGTTCTTCGACCTCTGGTTGACTGATGAATTGTAGCGCGAATTCCTGTCGTTCGGCCTGCTCGTAACCAAGACGTTTCTCAGGCACCGTCCACATTTGGTGGAGAAGGCAACGTTGGTCCTGGAAAAACTCTTGGGGAGTGGCATTTAGACTGCGGGAGACCGTATGACCGGCGGCATGGAGTTCGCTTTTGCGCATCGAGAAGGCGCCGACGAGATCCAGTGTATTTTCGGCGTCACCTTCAACAAGAGATCCTCCTTGCGTGAACGGCAGTTTCCGAAGCTCGGCGAACAAATCGATGAGTTGCTCAAGAAATTGACGTCGATATGGCTCTGAACTGCCCTTGAGTGTCGTCTTCGTTAACGATTGACCTTTGATGTGTTCCAGAATCATGAAACATTGGGGCTCCGAAGTATCTCGACGAAGTTGGCTTCGGCCGTACGTATATATGACGGGAACGGGTATTGTTGTCTTGTGTCGGAGGTACCTGTGAACATAATGTTAGCCGCTGAGAAAACATCATTTGGATGGAGGCCACTTACCGCATCGTGGAAACTTCACTACGCATTTTGTCCCATGCATCTTGCACTGCTGGTTCATGGGGTATTCGGATGATTCGTGTGGATTGGTCACTGAACTCAAGAACAAAGCAGGTATTGAAGCTGCCTCGGTGTCGGGCTTTGATCTCGCATGTCTGATTGTTGTGGTGCTCGGATGCTAACGACCGAAGGGCATCTTCGTCGATAGCTTGGAGGAATTCGTTGACGTTGCGGTCAATCTGCTCGTCTGTCAACGGCCACGTGTCGCGCTGCGTCAGTAGCACAAAAGACCTGTGGATGAAAGTAAAAAAACCGATGCGGATCTTTTGGATGGATCTTATGAACAGGATCCAAGATATCCAGAGAGATGAGAGGCGGCGCTTAATGATTGTAAACATTATAGATGGCGAATGAACGGATTATCTGGTAATAGACGTGGTATCGAAAGAGGGAAATCCCAGCTCCTCCCAATGACGTGCATGTGGTTCAGGAACCGGAAGCACTGCCACATAACACAGCCACGACTTGACCTGTGGCTTATGGGCTTGCGACTAATCGTGCCCGCCCCCACTTTATTGGGATTCGCTTTGGCTCACCCACTACTCGTCCCACAGAGCCTCCATGGCGTAGTGGTGACACGTCTGGAGCCTCTGCGTCGCAGAGGGGTCGGTTCGAAGCCGGCTGGAGGCACCCCTGAGCGAACAGGGTACACCCGGGTTCCCGCCCGTCAACAGGGAACAGCGTCATGAAAGAACACAATCGGCGTACCAACCACCATCAATGACTAACACAACCACGCTTCAACTTCGACACATCGCGCTTCAGTTGCTGGGAATAGGATGCTGAACACTTGGAGAAATTGACCTTCAAGCAGGTCTGTCATGGAGTGAAACAGTGGTACGGTTGGCGCAGCGTAAGATGATCGATCTGTGGGGCTTGGGGAGTCAAGGAACAAACGTGTTGAACTGTACTCTAGACAGTGTAAAGGCCTTATAGGGACCTCCCTCCGGGCGAAATAAATCCTACTACTCGTCCCACAGACCCACGTAAAGTGGGTCCTCACCACCTGTCTGTGTCAACCACCTGGCTGTGTCACTTTACGGCTTCAACGCCAACTTAATTTAATAATAAAACGGCAAAAAAAGTAAAAAATTGATGCATACGATAATTGAATACTGGCCGCAATAGTCTACCTATTTTTGACTTTTGTAGCTTATAAAGCTGATCGTTGGGCTTCCTTTTCGGCTTTCTTAGCCGCCCGGGCTGCCCGTCGCTCCTCGAGCTCAATCGCCCTTTTCTCCCTCTTTTGCTTCGCCAGTACCAACTTTTCTGCTTTTGCAATGCGAATATCTTCCTTTGACTTCGCAATAGCCCTCCATTCGTCTACAGTCAGTACTCCACCGCTTTGAAGGTGGCGGTTCTTGTATTTCTTCCGGCCTTGGCGTTGCTGCTCGGCAAGCTTGGTATTGTACAGATCGACCATCGTTTGCTTTAACTCGTGGCCTTGGGAGATTGCACCTTTAACGTAGCGTTGAAGGTTATGTACGAAGACCTCCTTCTCAATATCATCAATTGGGTCAAACTCAAGGAGACGTTGGCCAACTGATTCAAACTTCCGTACGGTATGGGGTACCAAAGGGGATGAATACGGCTCTGCAGGTAGCTCTGTCGGCGGCGTCTGGTCCCGTACCCTCTCTTTGAGTCTCTCGAGGATTGGCTTTGGATTGAATGGGTGGATTCCTGTTTTTTGAATGCCGAGAGGATTGTAGACTCCTTGAAGGCTTTGACGCGGATTGATTGGATCATAGCGAGGAACTCCAGCTTGGTGATTTTACTCGCACCACTGCGAATAGCAAAATCGACAGCCCGACTGTGGTAATGTTTATACGGCTGAAATACCACGACGTCAAGCGGTTGAAGGAGATGCGTAAGATGCGGAGGCAATGCAAAGAGCACAATATTATGGGCTTTAGCGTACTCGATAAGGTCAAGGGTATGGTGGGAGCCGTGGCCGTCAAGGAGCAATAGCCTCCAAGCACCTTTGCTCTTTGCATGCTTATCGAAATGTTGAATCCACGCTAGATTGAGCTGATCGTTCGTAAATCCCGTTTCCGTAACACCAATAAGGGTATCGCCATCTAGCTCCTTGATGCCGTACCACTGTTCGAGGTGGACCTTGCCGGATAGGATCAAAACGCAGGGATGTATCGACCATCGGCAGAAATCGCTTCAACGGCTGTTGCCGACTCCCTGTTTTCCTCAATACCAAAGTATTGCGATCGCCTTGATTTCGTGACGACAACTTGGTCCCTGCCAATACCAATACGGAAGCCCGTCTCGTCCATATTCCAGATATCAGCCGGGTTAAATTGTTAATCCCGTACGAGGCAATCGTCTCGTGGAGCTTCTTGAAGTACTCGGTAACGTGCGGGACTGATTCGGCAAGCTTGCGTTGGTTATCGAGTACCTTTTGCTTCATAATATGATATCCCTTGCGTTTAATAAAACGGGATATCCAGTTTTTGCCAACAAAGCATTGGGAGTCGAAGGGTTCGTTGCGGGTACCATCAGGGGCCAAGCCCGCACGGCTGGTTGTGAATGCATTTCTTCTGATTGACCTCATTGAGGTGACCGCACCTAATCGAGCCTTGCGTGATAATATGTGATGTCATTATTTTATTGCAGGTAGCTTGACAGCGCTTGTTCGAGTAGCAGAGTTTTGTGAATGGTGATGGCTACCGGTATGTCTATTTCTACATGCGCCACTCGATGCCTTATATGTCAGACATCCAGCTCCATAGCTGCCAGCACTCATTCTGCGCCTAAGAGCTATACTTCGACAAGCTGTCTCGGAACTATGCCATGTCGTTGGCTGGGTCACCTACGGCGTACACGCCGAATGTAGGGCGGATGCAGCATCAACCAGGCAAGACACAAGGCTGCCGCAGAGAACTACTGCAACAACCCTGGCACCTACATCGAAAGGTCATTATCAGCTTCGGACCAGGGTTCATGTCACCGCCAAACAAGGCCGCTGGGCACTAGAGCGAAACATTTCATGACGCCCTGCCCTGCTTAACAGGCAACCATAACTTACCACCACCTTTTTGCTTAATATGGGGTGCATATAGAGATCACTCGGCGTGGCTACACCAACTTCACGTATATAAATCTGGCCCAATAACGGATCAATTGAAAAGCTGATTGCTGTATTAAAGCTGTCGTGTAAGGGCCAGTTTTAGGACTGTATGAGAAAGATAGAAGACGCTGTAACCCGAATGTTTTGTCAAAATCACACTTAGGACTAGCGCCGTCAAGGTTAGTGGTGGGATGAACCTTTATCCGCCCGTTGACGGGTAATAACTTACTAATAAGTTTTCAAATTATCCTTGTATCTGCGTGCCTCCTCTTTCCATCCAAGCTTATCAAATAAAGCCACTACTGCATCGGCAGCTTTGCTGTCTGTTAGATATGATAACGGAAAATATATTTTCGGCTGCGGCCACAGCTCTCCAGGACGGATCTCAAAGTTAAAAATAAGTGGTTGATCATCGAAAAATTCCCGCTCCCCAGATGGCGCTTTGCGAGCTTCACCGCAAGTTTCGGCATTCGTGCTTTTCCTCAGGAGGGAATTTTGGAGGGACGGATAATGATAACCTTCGGGAATTTGAAGGATGGACAAGATCTCACGCACTAGCTCTAGCCCCTCAGCAATACCAGGGGCGTTCTTCAGTCGTCCCCCCAGTGTGTAAATGTCAACAACTCGGTCATGTTTCCACAAGGACTCGAAAAGATAGACCTTGAATCGGGTTCGGGACACATCAACGTGATCGCAAGCCACCGCGCCGAATTCGGTTATCTGAGGTGTAGTGGGGTGTGCAGGCTGCATCTTTGTTTCTGCAAAGTATTCTTCAATGAGACGTAGAGCAGGTACCAACAAGTCTTTCCCATCATCAATCTTCCGAATCGCTTGAAAAGAAAGTTCAGAGATTGGGGTTTTGGTGACCATGGACTTTGCCGATAGGAACCAATAGCCTTTGAGTGTTATGCTGCCAGTACGGGGGAACTGCACGGCAAGGTTACCCTGGGTCTTGAAATAAGGCGATAGACTATTGTAGCAAGTAGGCTGCAACAACTCCTTTTCCTCTTTCTTAGTCAAATTGAGGTGACTTGCAAGCAGATGGTAAGGCTGTAGGTCCAGCTCAACGCCAGGCACTTGGCCAAGCCTGGCCATCGCCTCTTCGGTCGATAGCTCGCCGAAGGGGTCCCGGGCGCTCACATGGCTGGAGTAGCCCCTGGGTTTGAATCCGACGCGAATGATACTTCCTGAGCTCTGAAAATTTTGGCTTATTTCCAGTGGATGATAATCATGCTGATGCTCGGACTCCTGGTTGCCTGGTATTGGACCCAAAAGAGGTGTAATGTGATGTGCAAAGAAGCACAAGTACTGGTATTGCTTGTTGATATCGTAGTTGGCAAGCAGGAGCTGCTGTCCTAGGACAGGGCCTGCTCGTTTCCACCACTGATGCTGCGCTTGGTCATCAAAATGAAGAGCAAGATCCAGGGCTTCGAATGGTGTTGCGCTCATTGCGGATCTCGTGGACAGGTCGTAGTGTTGCGATTGGAGATATATGTCTGAGTATCTCGCATTCGAGAGGGAAGTCTTTGTGAATATGGGTTGGGCCTGAGAGATGGTGATGAACATGTCTTTATCTTAGGAGTCAGACCAATTAATCATTTATACCCAGCTGGGGGATGTGCTACTCGAGATATTTGGGCAGCCACTTGACCCCCGTGCGCGTCTAACAACAGCTCCGTACTGCCATTGGAAACTAATCTCCGCCTGGGGTTGCAGATCAGCTGCAAGCCAAGCATATAACATTTTAGTACATTTTGGAGCAGTTGTAAGCAATCTTACATTGCATGTTGTCATGATATTGTGACGTTGCAATGATATTGTGACGTCATGATATTGTGACGTTGTCATGATATTGTGACGTTGTCGTGATATTGTGATGTTGTCATGATATTGTGATGTTGTCATGATATTGTGACGTATCACAAGCTAGAATGTCATGGGTGTGCATCATATTTGCAGGGTGGACAAGCTCCAAAAGAGAGGACGGTCGGCGTGTATCAAATCGCCGGTTCAGAATCCCTGTCTGACTAATGTACCGGCAGGTAACGTCGTACGACTGCTTTATTAGCATGCCAGATGCTTAAAAGTGAACTAGAGTCCGGAAAGTATTCCGCGACGGCATTCATGCACGCGATGCAACGGTCCGTCCAGATCACCGATGGAGGCTTGGCGGCGCATTGCTCGTAAAGCAACTTTAGCCGATCTAACGCCTAACCATAGTCGTCTTCTGTCTCGCCACTTAGGAACGCGAAAGCGACGGAGAACGACCGCTGGCAAGCATCGACGCTAATCATTTAAAAAGTGGCATCTCGTAACCTTATTTGTTCGTCTTATAAGTGCAGTTAAGTGACAAAATATCCGAGTAGGCTTGCAAGTACTCTAAAGACTCTAGATAAGTAAATAAGACGGCCGTTACTCGACCGTCCGGGCCTAATTGCATTCGGTTCTAAAAGCCTTCGCTGTCTAAGTAGTTAGAAAGAGCATAAATAGTGCTTTGTCCCTCCTAAAGATCTCGTCTAGTGGTAGCGATGCGATTATAGATGTCTTGCTAAGTATCTAAAGTGTTACTATTGTCACGGCGAGCGAAAGGAGACTGCAGACAAAGCTAGCAAGATACTCTGTAACGAAAGAATACTAAGATGAAGAGGAAAGAAAACCACATAACTCCTAACGCCGTGACCTCCTCATATCCTCCCTGTCGCTTCGGACCTGGATGACGCGGCTGCCCGTACCTACCGTCGGAGCTGCCCGTGCCCGTGCCCGTCCGCGGGTTCCGTGCCCGTCCGCGGGTGCCGTGCCCGTCCGCGGGTGCCGTGCCCGTCCGCGGTTTCCGTAGTAGTCCCCAGGTGTGTCACGGTAACCCAGGGGTCCCGTGCCGTGCCCGTCCGCGGTTTCCGTAGTAGTCCCCAGGTGTGTCACGGTAACCCAGGGGTCCCAGGTAGGGCCCTGACAACACACAGGATATCAGCCTCCAACAGGCTGACCCCTACCATCTACACTATGCCAAACAGCCACACCAACCATCAACATTATGCACATAGGTCTCGCAGGGAATTCTTCAAGGAATCGGGTCTTTCTCTTCCACTTGCAAACTTCCTCTCTCGGGACTATGGTGCAACCTATAGAAATAGGTCTCGCAGGGAATTCTTCGAGGAAACGGGGATGCTTTTCGATACCTAACTTTCTGTGGTTAAACAGACGTTCAACCACTGATCAGTGTTGGGTCGTGGGTATTCGTGCTGTGCACAGGGTGATAGAGAATACGAATCAAAGGTGCTAAAGAGCTATGCCCGTGACTGTTGTATTGGTAATCTATGAAGAGAAGAGAAAAGATGAAGAAGAATGAGGAAGGAGGAGAAGAAGGAAGGAAGGGAGGAATGAAGGGAGGCGTGTAACCCCGGTCCGAATGTCTTCCGAGACCCTCCTATAAAGCCTCCTTCTCGCGTAGGGCCAGTAGAGCCCATGTCCCCACATAATGAAGTCCTCCGCATCTAGACAACCTTAGCATTTAATATATATTAAACCTATAGGATATATATTTAATTTAAGTTAAATTAAATAGGCAAGAAATTTTATATGTTCGATTTAATGCGAATCTACTAGGGTTACATTCGATTTAACCTCGAATCGAAGGGGTAATAATTTTTACGCATTCGATTCGATGCGAATCTGCAGAGGCCCCGTTCGATTCTAACGCCAAGTCTTGGCGTTCGATTCGATAGATTCGTAAGATGTCCGTCCCTGGCAGGGGAAACAGCAGCGGAAGGACAAGGATAGGAATAGCCACGGTTATATGTCAACACTACTCAACACACTTGGATTCAACGCAATTTTGCACTCGACTGATCAACCACACCAAGCCAGTCAGTTGACAAGGTAAATTCAATGTCACTGGGATGCCTGGTGGGTTGAATGGAATGACTTGGAACCCTGATTCCAGTCCTGAATATCTCCTCTTGGCTCTTTCTTCGTGCTCACAAGTTTACTTTCCGCGCTCTCTCAGAAAGGCGAGTAATAAAGACTTAGGTAGGGCTTTGAATGGCGATATGAGAAGGAAACTCCTGAGTGTATGTAGTTGGTTTTCGTTAAATCGAGGCCGGGACTGTCAGCAATGTTAGTTCTACTCCAGCCCGTTGCGGCATTAGTCCACCACAGGGTCAACTTACTAGTATGAGGCCACTTTATCCTTGTACGTGTTGGCCAGATCCGTCCAGCCCAGAACCTTGTAGAAGGCCACGAGTGCGTTCATTATCACCTCGTCATTCATTCCAACGGTAAGGAGGTATATTTGGGGGTCCGGGAATCTTTTCGTGGGAGACAAGGTCCAGTTCGCCATCATGACGGGTCGGTAGTCCTCGGGAGGAGGTGTCCCAAAAGTAAAGTCGGGCCGGACGTTGCTCCGATACCCTTCAGGTATCTCGAGAAGATCCCACAGCTTCCTCAGGAGGGTCAGACCATCAGCACATTGAGGATCTTCCAGACGTTTCCCGCCAAGAGTCCACATGTTCTCTACCCGATCCCATGATACTACCTGGTCGGTGACGTAGAATTTCAGGCGACTTCGCTCGGGAGCGCACAGGTCGACGCCGAGAAGGAATGGGGCAATGGCGCTATCTCTTGGGTTTCCGTCGTCTTGTAGGCCGAGAGAGTTGCAAAGGTGTTGCACGGGCTCCTTCAATCCCGAAAGGGCGAGCGTCTCGATGGAGGCGAGAATGAGCTTTCCTGGCGAAATTCCAGTCGCCAGCGACTTCATGCCTGGGAAGAAGTAGGCCTTGGCGCTGATACCGCCATTCTGGAATTCTACCGCCAGGGTTTGCTGACCTCGTCCGGACATGGGGAGGGGGGCTTTTTCCTTGAGCAACCGACTTTCTTCATCAGGAGTCACCACAAGTTCGTGCTGGAAGTGCCTGAACCGGGCTAGATCGATGGTGTCGTCTATACTTGCAAGGCGGGATAAGCATTCGTCTGGTGCCGACTTGTTAAAAGCATCGACGCCGGATTCTGCCAAGTGCGAAAGTGGTTCGAACCCAATCCGCACGATATTATGGAGGAGATTCCAGCTGAGCTCGAAAGGAACGCCATAGGTGGTCACATTGCTCCACCAAGGCAGAGGTGCCTGCCCAGCGACAGGGAAGGTGCCGAGGTATGGAACCAGAAGTTGCTGCAGGAGATGGAGGCAAGGAAGCTGGTCTTTCTGCGGATACTGAGCATCACGCAGAAGCTTGAGCAATTTGGGTTCAGTGTGTTCCCACCAACGTCGCTGGTCGTCATTGGGAAACCTCAAGTTCTTGCCGAGGAGACGGAGTGCCTCTTCTTCAGGGCGCAAAATCTCAGTTGCCATGGTCCTTGTATGGCAGGGATGCGGATACTAGAGCGAGATGAAAGATTGGGTGTTGTAGAAGTGGACTGTACAGGAGTCATAATCTTCGCTGCTGGCCGCAGGACGAGGTGCGGCTTTGAATTCTTTAAGTACGATTCTATATAAATTGTAAGTGTCTGCGAACATGTACGGTAGCGCGGCAAAAAGAGCAGTCAGGTCACCACCCTAGACCTCATAACACCCCCACCCTGGTCAAGACCCCCCCCCCCTTTCCCATTCAGCCGGCGCCTTCGCTCGGCCAAGCTCTTAGTTGCCGAGGCCCGAGGTCTTTGATGCCAAGGCAAAAAGTGCGGAGGAGGAGCTGCGTGCTGCTTTAGGTCCCCTAAGGGTAGATCGCATCGTTATTTGCCTCGTGAACCTCGAAGCAGCGACACGCTTACAAGTAATAAATACATGATCTTAAACTGTACTAAAAGAAGCTTAAGTATATTTACTTCTACTAATAAATACTTCTAAGTAAAATTATACTTGTTGTTAACGTTAGGATAAACTACTCTGCTATATAAAATAGGGGCACCCCTAAGGGAGGGCTAGTTTATTTAAGTACATAGGTTTTTTTCTATCTAAAACTTATAAATAAAATATATTTATAAAGTATATAAAAGAATATAAAATATTAATAAAGTATTAATTATAAATATTATAGCCTAGCTAATTATAAGAGGGACTAGCTAAAAAGTAAGCTATAGCGCCTTAGTAATTAAGATCTTATAAAGTATAAATGTCACGGCGAGCGAAAGGGGACTGCAGACAAAGCTAGCAAGATACTCTGTAACGAAAGAATACTAAGATGAAGAGGAAAGAAAACCACATAACTCCTAACGCCGTGACCTCCTCATATCCTCCCTGTCGCTTCGGACCTGGATGACGGGGCTGCCCGTACCTACCGTCGGAGCTGCCCGTGCCCGGAGCTGCCCGTGCCCGGAGCTGCCCGTCCGCGGTTTCCGTAGTAGTCCCCAGGTGTGTCACGGTAACCCAGGGGTCCCAGGTAGGGCCCTGACACTACCCCCTCCTTCCGGAGAGCTCGCCCCGAGCTCTGACCAATGCCGTAATGCCAATACCCAGAGACATACCTACTTCGTTACCCGCCGTCGCCTCATTTTTGTGTTGTCTTGCCGTTGAGTCGGGAGGTCGTCATCTGGTGTGTCTAGGGCGACTTGGTCCGTCGCCGCTGCTTGGATCCATGCAGCTAAGCGGCCCGGAGGGCCAGGCTTATCGGGGTGGGCGTTGTGGAAGTGTTGTAGGGCTAGCGGAGCGTTTTTGAAGTTACTCGCTAGATACCAATCTGGGTCCGGGTCCCAACCCTTCCAACTAACCTGGTATTGCAGCTTTCCCCTGGCAATCCTGGATGCAAGGACTTGGTCGATCTCCCACTCGGATTCCCCCTGTATGACTACCGGCGGGGGCGGTTCGTAGGTCTGTCCTGGTACCGGATCCGAGGGCGCTTTAAGTAGTCGGCTAGCGTTAATAACCCGGTGGATTTTCATCGTTGGTGGTAGGTCCAATTCGAAAGCGTTTGGCCCCTTAGCCGATAAGACCCGAAACGGGCCTAGGTAGGGTTGATCAAGCCGTCACTCGGGCGTCCCGTTGACCAGTGTCCCTTTTCAGGTATACCAGGTCGCCTACCTCCCAGTCGACCTCCTACGGCGTTTATCCGCCTGCCGCTTGTATTCCGCCTGCTTGGTGAGTAGGGTTTCCCTCGCCCACCGGACCCCCTCGGCGGCCCGGGAGGCGAACTGCTGCGCCGCTGTTCGCCCTAGCTGCTCTCTGGGGGGGGCCGTCGCTGTGGGTGGCGCCACGGACCAGTCGAACGACATTCGGGGTAAGTATCCCATCTCAAGCTCCGCAGGTGCTAGACCGATGCTCTCGTGTGGGTGGGTTGAGTGTGCGAAATCCAAGCAGGGGAGCATTTCGGACCAGTTATCCTGGTAGTAGTCTAGATAGGGACGGAGCTTTGTCTGTAGGAACTGGTTTATTATCTCGGTCTGACCGTCCGTCTGAGGATGTTCGGCCGTAGATAGCTTCATCTTCGTCCCCACGAGGCGACAAAGTTCGTTCCAAAAGCTCGAAATAAACTGCGGCCCGCGATCTGACGTAATGGTCTCCGGTGCGCCGTAGGTCCTCCAGATATGCTCGTAGAAAAGCCAGGCCATATCCTGCGCGGTACAGGTCGTATATGTCGGTAGGGAGAACGTCCTCTTGCTCAACCGACAGACCGTAACGAAGACCGCCGTATACCCCTTCTTGTCTCGTGGCATTGTCTTAAAGTCCATAGAGATGTGCTGCCAGGGGCGCTCCGGAATTGGCAGTGGCTGGAGTAGTCCCGCTGGTCGGAGGCGGGAGTCTTGGGACCGCTTGCAGTCCGCGCAGTTCGCGCAGTAACGGTCAATAAAACCTCCTATCCCGAGCCAGTAGTACCGTCTCGTTAAGATCTTCCTCATCTTATTCCGGCCGGGATGTGCCTGACTTCGCGGACGGTGCGCCTCGTGACAAAGGGCAGTCCGTAGGTTCGCCTCGTCGGGGACGACTAGTCGTCCATCGTAACAGAGGAGGCCACTCTGGACTTGGAACCGGGAGTCTGGTATCTCTGCTTGCTCCTTTCGGAGCGTAGCGAGGTGAAGCCAGTTTGCCTGGAGGATCGCTTCGATAAGCTCGAATCCTTCCAGTAGGCACCCATCTCTAGAGTTTGGGGTCTCGGCTTGTCTTGCGGAACCGGGGGTATATATGGCAATAGTAGGGTCGTCTCCGCCTGCGGCGCCTGCGGCTATAGCAGCCCTCCCGTCGTGCCCCTGCAAACTGAGTTGCTGGGATTAGGATCTGCGAGCGGTTCAACTCCTTGAGCGCCTTCTGTAACTGCACGTCCTGGGCCTTGCGGGAAAGAGCGTCGGCGACGACGTTTTGCTTGCCCGGGCGATAGTGGATTTCGAATCCAACCATAGCAAGGGTCTCGATCCATCGAGCTTGCCGTGCGTTTAGCATCCTCTTTGTAGCGAAGTACTGGAGGGCTTGGTGGTCGGTGAAGATCTTGATGACTCCGGGAGCGACTAGGGATACAAGGGCATCCATTCCTTCAGGCACACGATAATAGCCAGGAGCTCCTTATCGTGTATCTCATAGTTACACTCCGCTGCGTTCATCGTTTTCGTAAGGAACGAGACCGGGTGCCATTGTCCATCGTCCGCTAGTTGTGAGAGCACGCCCGCGATAACCCCATCCGACGCGTCAGTCTCTAGCTTCGTCTCGCGGTCCTCTATGAAGTGGACGAGGACTGGCGCGGTAGTTAGAGCTGTCTTTAGGGTCTCGAAGGCCTCAAGGCACCGGTCGTCGAAATCCCACCTACTCTCCCTGTCAAGCGGTTTAGGGTCGGCAGATTCTACCGTAGTTACGGATAAACCGACGGTAGAAGTTGCAGAATCCGAGGAAGGACTGCAGCTCTTTTTTGCATCGTGGGGTCTGCCAGGTCAGGATAGCCGAGACTTTCCTAGGGTCGACGGAGATACCATCCGTACTAATAATAAACCCAAGGAAATCCGTCTTTGTGACACCGAATTCGCATTTCTTGATGTCTACTTGAAGACCCGCTTCCCGAAGTCGCTCTAGAACGAGCCGTACGTGTCGCATATGTTCCTTCTTATCTTCGGAGAACACGAGGATATCATCGAGGTAGGCCGTACAGAAAGAGTCGAGGTAGTCCCAAAGGGTCGTGTTAATAAACCGTTGGAACGTACTAGGCCCGTTGCATAACCCGAAGGAAGGACCTTGTAGTGGAACTGGCCGTAACGCGTGCGGAAGGCGGTTAGTTCGACTGAATCCGGTTCGAGCCGGATCCGGTGGAACGCCTGCCTAATATCTAGCTTCGTAAATATCTTCGCCTTCGCAATGCGGTCTAGGGTCTCGCTAATAAGAGGATAGGTACCGATCCTTCTTAGTTAGCTGATTGAGTTCCGAAATCTACGCAAAAACGCAGCTTGCCATCCTTCTTTTTTGCAAAACAGACAGGGGATCCGAACTGTGCGCTGCTTGGCTCAATGAAGCCCTTCTGGAGACTATCCTGTAAATACTCCTTCATAGTCTCCAGCTGTTCGCGGTTAAGGCTGTACAATGGGTGCGTTCGTAACGCAGCAGGCCCTGTTAGTTCGATCTTATGGTCTACCCCTGGGCGGGACGGAGGCATCCTATTGCTGTCCTCGCGGGAGAACACGTCGGCTAGGTCTGCGAGCTCTGGAGGTAGCTTTTCTGCGAGGAAACGGTCGTCCTCGTCCTGTTGGTTATCCTGCTCGCCCCTTTCCCCGAGCGCCTTATCGATCATGTGAAGGTTGAGGAAAGTCACATCTTCGTAGGCATGCCGATGGTCCTTCCTGCGACGGATACCTGCGTGGAATGCTGGTGCCGAAATCATCAGTATATCGAGATCCTGCGCCCTCCGTTGGTACCGTGGCCTGATATCCTTCTGGCAGGGTCTCTCCACTCGATGCCCGCCAGTGCTCGGTTCATCTTCCCCAGGTCATCCCCTCGATGAGTAGAGTACCGTGGACGATGTTGCCGTGGGCCGATGGTGCTCGTGGCCCCTGTTGGTTCCTGTATCGCGGGAGAGATCTGGATGATATGGGCCGCGCCGTCTTCTTCCTGGTCCTGTCTTTCTGCTTCTTCCCAAAGGTGGTCTCGCCGCTCTACGTCGGCCTGAACTCGTAGGAAACTGGCTTCGGTACATAAGACGAGAAGCCTTAAGTGCAATATCCGGGATCCAGTCCCTCTGGGCTTCCAGCTCAGGAGGGAAGATAAGGCGACGACGGCGGCAGTCGAGACGGATATCGAAATGGCTCAAGAACATAAGTCCTACGATCAGGTGGAAATCGTTCCTCGTCCCTAGGTCGGCCTCAAGGATCGGTTGATCGCGGAAAGTCCGCCCCTGGAGCTGGAAGTCTGCTTGGATAGAAGAAGTGATACACTGAGCACGACCATCAATTCCCTTAATATAACGCGGCGCTGTATAGCTGCGTCTAGGGAGGTCGAGTCGTTTAGCTGCTGGCTTTGTTAGGCGTGAGTTGCCTAATAGCCACGTTTGTGCTCCGGTATCCACAAGGATGCGTACTGAGATAGCGAGACCATGTTTGCGAATCGTGCTATTAATCACAAAACTAGGACCGCCAATTAAGTGATCAATTGTCGATAAGTTCAGGTTCTCAGTAAGCTTGCGAATACTTAGGATATAGCCTGTGCGGGAGCCTTTGCTCAGGCTATGGCATTTCCCGCTACCTCGAACTCCTCATCTTGATCGTCCTGCGACTCGCTACCTTCGCTGTCCGACCCTTCCAATAACGCTCTCAGTTGGTCGTTTACCGTCCCCACTGCCGCCACAAGTGCGGCCACTCGTGGGGATCCCTTTGTCGGACAGACGGCAGCCTGATGGCCCGGTCTTTTGCAAACGAAACAGTTCCCCTTAAAGGTACCATCAGACGGCAACGTGGTAGTCGGCGGGGTCGAGGGTCGCTGGGCCCGTAACTCGGTTTGGGGAGCGAATCGGACTGCCTTTGACCGAGGGAGGCGGATTATTCCTCGGTCTGGGGTCGGTATCCTAGTCTTCGCAACCTCCTCTCGGTCCTCCTTCAGTCCCTCTAACGCGTCAACCTGAACAAGATACCGGGCAGTCATCCGGTCACGATATTGAGCAAACGTAAGCTCCTCGTACCGCTCGTAGATATCTTGGCTGTTTAGGCGGATCCGACCGGTGAGCTTCTTGTGAAGCTCTGTGATCCGGTCTCGGTCATGGAGTCCTGCTTTTGTCGCAAGGGTTACGAACTTCGCTGCGAAGTCGATAAAGGACTCCCCTTGTTTCATTTTCAGGCTATCCAGCCGCTGCCTCGCCTCCCACTTGTGGCTCTTGTTATCGTAAACTGACCCAAGGAGCTCGAAGATCTGACCCACGGATCTGATCTCGAGGTCGTCCTGTTTCGCGAGGTAGGGCGCTAGGACCTCGTGCGCTTGTCCTTGATAAGGGTCGCGATCCACGTAATCCTAGCGAATTCGTCGGGAAAGAAGTAGGCGTTTAATTCCATCTTCCGCTCCACTGCTGCCTTCCAGTCAGCGTAACGCGGATTCGATCCATTGTCCAAGGGCTCCGGGTCCTTGATCTTGATTGTATTGTGCCGGGTCCGGGCTGTGGACGTAGTCGACGATGGCGCCTGCGAGGGGGTTCGTTCTTCAGACGGGGGAGATGGCGTGAGGTCGTGGGGTGTGTGGTGCTCCTGAGGGGGGGGTATCCTGTCGGAGCGCCCCAGAGTCTTTGATGCCTGCATAGCTCGCCTCGATCGCACGGATCTGGTCCGTGTAATCCATAAGATCTTGCTGGCGAGCTCTGGCCTGACGGCCTAGCTCCTTCTGGTTCGCGAGGGCTCGTTCGAGGATCTGACGGGCAACCTTCTCTCGGGTGCTGGACCGTTCGACCGTCCAACGAAGTAACTGTAACGCCGCGTTACGTTCGTTGACT